TCTGAGAGTGACTTTGAGCGAGAAAGAAACCGTGAGAGAGAAAGAAGGGAGCAAAGAGTAAGGACATTTTTTGTTGTTGTGGTACCGGCTCGTTTGATTTTTTCGTTTCCGTGTAGCAGCAGGGAACGGAAAATCAGTTCAATAAATGCAAGTGATCCACCAGACTCGGTCGAAGTTTGGTCGAAGTTTCGTCGAAACTTCGACCCCCCAGGTCGAAGTTTCGACACCCCCCAGGTCGAAGTTTCGACACCCTACCGGTCGAAGTTTCGACACCCGAGGTCGAAGTTTGTAAGTTGTGATATTACAATTCACTGTAAGGGTAGCACTTTTAGCAAATTGGTGTCGAAGTTTCGGCTCGAAACTTCGACCTCGGGTGTCGAAACTTCGACCGGTAGGGTGTCGAAACTTCGACTTGAAGGTGTCGAAACTTCGACCTTGGGGGGTCGAAGTTTCGACGAAACTTCGACCAAACTTCGACCTAGCATGTCGAAATTCCGTCGAAAATTCGATCAAACTTCGATGGTATGGTGTTGTGCTTTCTACGAAACTTACATGCTTCAGTGGTCCACAGTCTAGAAATTCCTATGAGTTATTGGTGTCCTGGAGAACAAAATCATTGTCTAGTCGGTTTCAATCGACACCCGACATCCGGTACTTCGTTTGTCTGGTATTCGGAAACTGAAGAGCATTGTGGGCTGTCGGTCATCACATCCTGCGAAATGCTTCGATCCCCAACTGTCTCGTGATCTAGCCTAGACACTCCCTCTGCAGCCGCAACAAAAGCTACATCCATCAAGTTCCGAGGGATATGCGAGAAAATAGTGTTTCGATCCTATGGGAGTATCCGATAACAACTATATAGTAGGTACAGTAGGTATAATACAAGTATCGTGGGTACTGGGTATTGGGTATACTCGAACGTAGAAGAAGTAGTATTGTACTATTATAGTAGTATAGTAGTCGTAGTAGTAGTAGTAGCAGTAGTAGTAGTAGTAGTAGTAGTAGTAGTGGTAGTATAGTATAGTATAGTATAGTATAGTATAGTATAGTATAGTATAGTAGTATAGTAGTAGTATAGTAGTAGTATAGTATAGTAGTATTAGTACTAGAGCAAGGACCTTGAGAGCACCCTGAGAGCACACTGCACGGCTGTGTTGGCTGTGTGCTTGCTTTGCACGGCTTTCATGTTGTCATGTTGTGTTGTCACATGCACATGCCGTGGAAGTCCTTTGGCGAAACCGCGAGTTGAGTTGTGCCTGCTTCCTACGTAGAGCCTGACGGCCATGGCACCCAAGATGAAGCGGCCCAGTGCAGCCTTGGCTTCCTCTTCCTCTAAGGACCCTAAAAAGGTTACAACCTTGGCCTTGACCAACGGCGAGAAGGGCGAGGAGAAACGTGACAAGGGTAAGGGTGAAAAGTGGGCCAAGATGGCCGACAAAAAGCAGCTGCCTGACCACCTGCTCGAGCTCTACAACGCTGGCCGGCACCAGCAAGAGAAAGCACCAAACCACAGTTATCAATACGGTCTTCAAGAAGCGATCCGACGGCGGGTTCGACCTGAACACAGCAGATCCACTCTTCCAACAGTCCTTGGACATCTACGACAAGAAGTTCACCAAGGAGCAGGAGAAAGGGTTGCCGAAGTCAGTGTTTCTCTGGCAGTACTTCCAAGGCAACCAAGCTGCCATGGATCAGGCCTACGAGGACGGTGACATCTTTGAGACCAAGGATGGCGAGGGTCGAAAGTTTTGGTGCCACAAGGAGATGGTTGTGGGCAGGGAGGTGGGCCGAAGTGAGACCAACGGCATTCAGCGGCAGAAGAAGGGCAGGCATGATCAGGCACAGGTCATCGCTGACATCATGCGGCAGATGAACTGGGGGTGGGATCGCTGCAAGGATGATCCGATTCAAGATGGGGTTATGTCCAAGGACACGATCAAGATGCTCAATGCCGCTTTGCAGTCGCAGAATCGCTTGGCAACGGATGCACTCAAGCTCACCAGGAACCACCCCGGTGCATTGGGGGATGCCAGGGTCAAGGAGTTGACAAGCAGCTATGCCAAAGCCCAATCCGCCGCTTTGTCCATCGAGCACCTGTTGAAGTTCAACCTTTTGCCCAGCCAGCAGGAAGTCACGAGGTCCGGGTTAGACAACTTCATCCGGGAGATCACAGAGCAAACCCAAGCCCAGACCGAGCTCATCGAGGTTTCCAAAGGTCTTGTGAGAGCTGCTTCTAAGACTACCAAGAAGTAGGCTCATTGCTCCGTATACGGGTGCCACACGGTCTCACGTTTTGGTGTCTGTGTCATGTGCATGCCATACATGAACATGTAGCTATGTGTAAACTGTGTCTACACTGTCTGTTTATAAGCCCTTACAGCCCTCATATCCCCTTTTATGGAACATCCTGAATACCCAGAGCTTTGTTGCTTGTGTTTCTAGCTATGAGAGCACACACACACACACTGTGAGAACCCAGAGGGTGGCATCAACTCGAGGGCCAGTTTTACTCTTTTGTCGCATGTACCTGGAGGGTACTTGAATGCTGCCTGGCTTTAGCGCCTGTGCTCGCTCGCTTGGCAAATCGACTGAGGCATCATCTGTATGTGTGCCAAAGACCAAAGACTCAGCAGCAGGATGTAGTTTGAGGGTGGCTGTTGATTCATGTGTAACTCACATATATAGCTGCAGACTTCAGGCTCAATGTTTCAGGTATGCATTTTCGGTAGGAAAAGCAGTTTGCAGGCTCCATGTTTCTCAGGCGACTATGTATGTATGGAGTTTCAGCACATAGCATGTGAGGTTTCAGGGTCCATGTTTCGGTGTTTCACCGTCCATGTTTCAGTGTGAGAAGACTTCGTAGGTATGGAGTTTCAGCACATAGCATGAGGTTTCAGGGTCCATGTTTCAGTGTGAGAAGACTCTGTATGTGTATGGAGTTTCAGCACATAGCATGAGGTTTCAGGGTCCATGTTTCAGTGTGAGAAGACTCTGTATGTATGGAGTTTCAGCACATAGCATGAGGTTTCAGGGTCCATGTTTCAGTGTGAGAAGACTCTGTATGTATGGAGTTTCAGCACATCGCATGAGATTTCGCCGTCCATGTTTCAGTGTGAGAAGAGACTTTGTATGTATAGAGTTTCAGCACATAGCATGAGGTTTCAGGGTCCATGTTTCAGTGTGAGAAGGCTTTGTATATGTATGGAGTTTCAGCACATAGCACGAGGTTTCAGGGTCCATTCAGTGTGAGAAGACTTTGTATGTATGGAATGTTTCACTTATGTATGTATGGAGTTTCGCTACAAAGCTCGAGGTTTCAAGCTACATGTTTCAGCACCAGAAGATACTGTATTGAGTTTCGGGGTGGTGTACAGGATTACACATTCCTTTGCATCGCTGGGTTGTTGGTTTTCCTATCTCAAACAAGGCTCACACAAGGTTTCATTTGTTTAATGTATCAGCCCGAGATTTCATACTAGTCTCCTATTGGTGTGGGCCGGTGTGCGATTGATGCGGGAATACACCCCATGGGGCAAGCTTCAGCCCCAACCGCTTGCCTGTCCAGGTCATTCGTCCTACCACCAACACCTTTATCGGAGATGTTTCTTCCCGGCACGTATGCAAAGGCTCCGACCAAGAGACTTCGATCCTTGAAGATTTCGTTAAATAACATAAAGCGAGAATATAGTTTAACAATTTGCAATATATTGTGATGATAAAATATAATAGTGTAAAGTAGAGCAATAGCAATGTTCTCGAGAAACAAGTTAAATATATAAGTAGATCTACGACCCAGCTGCTCTCAAGGTCTTGTGAAGGTATTTACACATACATAGACAAAAAAGCCTCAAACTCCCTAGAATCCAGTTCCTCTCAATATTTCATGCATGTAGACAAACACTAAATTGAACCCAGATGCTCTCAAGGTAACATATAAAAGTGTATATATACATACACATACGATCCACACTTGCTCTCACGGTCCCTATAAGCCTCAAACCCTACAGTTGCTCTCAAGGTCTTTTGAAGGTATTTACACAGACATAGGTAAAAATCTCAAACTCCGTAGAACCCAGTCCCTCTCAAGGTTTCCTATGTAGACAAACCCCACAAGCTCTACAGAACCCAGAAAAGCTCTCAAGGTAATACTTTTATATGTATATATAGTTATATGGATATATATGCAACCCACACACTTGCTCTAAAGGCACCTAAACCTCAAACCCTATATAGTTGCTCTCAAGGTCTCTCGAAGGTATCTACAGCAAGGGTTCCCACACCTGTGATTATACATTGAGAGATTTTTTCGTTTCACCCCGACCGTATATGTGTGCTTGTCAAGAACCATGAGAGCTGGAGGAATACAGCAGAGAAAACGGAAACGAGAACAAGATGAACAAGCCGCTGGATTTGGTACAAGTGCACTCGCTCAACATTTGGTGTCCGAGTTCGCTTGGGGATCTTACTCACCACAGCAAGTTCAAAAGCTAGCGAGCTTGACTGTGCAGGATTTCAAGAAGGCGGCTCGACCGGAGGATATCCCAGAGGATTTGGTCAAGCTCGCTGGCATCGGCTCTAGTGGACGATACCCGTCCAAGTGCCACGAAGATCTCATGAAGTTGGTGGAACCAGGTGCTAAACTACCTCCACCCACCGTTGCGAACTTGCCTTTCAAGTCGCCGCTCAACGAGCAACCACAGGCGATGTTCCTCCCGCATGAGACCTTCGCCAGTTTGTACAATGAGTACGGCGAGGGCTGGATGAAGTCCATGGTGCCAGATGCCTCCGAGATTCCAGCTTTCTGGGATTCAGTGGCCAATCACCCTGGGGTTGTAGATCACCCACTCAAAACCAGAAGCGATTTTCGCAGCAAGTGTGTGCCAGTCGGCCTTCACGGCGACGACGTCCCGTGCACCGGACTAGGCAAATGTTGGGTGTCGAAGCAAACGGAATTTAGCTGGTTCAGCATGCTCGCCACAGCCCAAAGCACTCAGGACCGCATGTTTTGGATATACGGTTGTATGGAAAAGTTCAAGGTGGCAGAAAACGGACTCCACACCATGCATACCTTTTTCACGATCCTTGCCTGGAGTTTCTTGTGGCTAAGCCGGGGGCAGTGGCCTGATGCAGATTGGAATGGCAAAAAGCAACTCAGAGTTCATTTAAGTTTCAGCAATATATGTAAACATGTTATCACACAAGCTGCTTTCGTGTGTGTTTGTATATATATATATATATGTATATAAATATCAATATAAATATAATTATAAATATAAATATAAATACATAAATATAAATATATATATATATATATATATATATATTATATATATATATATATTTGTGGTACAAAATATGTATGTGTATCAGTCTACATCCCTCTGTTGCTTGTTCGTTGTGTTCTTCTGCTAGTAGACGGTGTTTTGTATCTTTGTTGTTTGTGAAAGAAAACCAACCGTAAAGCCTAATACTTTTGCCATGCACCCCGTAAACCCTTAAGCACACTGAAACTCACATCCCTAAACTCGACAATCACAGGTACCCCAAAGGGTCGCCGGAGCAGAAAAAGGCATTGAAACCCTTGGCCGGCGGATTTTATTGTCTCCTGTTCTGCTTGATCGGTGACCTTGATTACTTCGCTGGTGTCCTGAATCTGCCCCACTTCAGCTCGGCAACGAATCCCTGTCCACTATGCAGGGCCACGGGCAGCGGCGAAAACACGTGGGCGAACTTTAACTCTGACGCACCGTGGCGATCTACGGTATGGACACCTAGTGCCTGGCGAGCATGGGGTGGGCGATCGAAATCACCACTGTTCCGTCTTCCCGGGACGTCCTGTCATACCGTCTCTCTTGATTACCTCCACACGAAATACCTGGGGACGGACCAGTGGTTGTTCGGATCCATTCTGTGGCTTTTGACCCATGTGATCCTCAGTGCCAGCCCTCTGAACAACCTCAAGGATATCTGGAGAAGGATTGAACGGTATTACAAGCAGAGCAAGACACCAGCAAGCAGGCGATACCGATCTCTGGGCAAATTGAGCATGTTTGTTCGGAAAACAGGCTACCCCAAACTCAGGGGCAAAGGTTATGAGCTCAAGAACTTCGGCAGGGCACTTCTCCATGTATGGGAGCAGTGTATGAAGCCACACATCCAGACTCACCAGCAGATCTTGCTCATGCTCCAGATGAATGTCAAGATGGAAGACCTCTTGAGCGAGCACAAAACACTTTGGGTGTTGCCGGAAGCGGCAGCTCGGGAATTCCGGGAGTCTGCCAGGGCCATGTTGTTGGTGTATAATGCCGTTGCAAGACACTTCGCAGAGAGCCTGGTGCATGCAGACTTAGGGTTTTCCTTTTGTTGTTACGACATCTAGTTAATCTAGTTTGTAGAATTGTGTGTGCTTCGTTGAATCCACCAAGGGAAGGCCTTCAGCTCTTTGATATCACCAGCAAGTTCCACTTGCTGCAGCACATCACAGACCATGCCGATTGTGTGTCCCCCCGCCTGGTGCCTCCACCAGTGTTGGCAGCACCGCTTTGCATTTTTGATTCTAAATCTCTTCGCCAACCAACACAAACATGTATAAGGTATGGTGCTTTTCGGGAGAAGACCTCATGAGACACATGCAGCATCTCGCACAATCGTGCAGTAGAGGCGTCAAGCCGGTGACTGTGGTCAACAAAATGGCCAGAAAGTACCGCCTGGCGATGCACCTGCAGCTCACGAAGCCTTGAAAAAAACGTGATACGATGTCATTGCGAGATGACTCTCCGAACAAAGACGGTTCTTTATTTCCACCACACAAGTACTCTCAAGGTGTTATTCTGTCTCTCAAGGTGTTTTTCTGTCTGTTTAGTACACAACACAATATATGTCCAGAAAGACTCACAACCTCAAGCCTGCAAGCCCTGAACCCAGAGAGTCTGTCTGTATATGGACCCTGAAGACTTGTGTGTGTGTGTGTATGCGACACACCAAGAAGATATACCGGAAAGCGAGAGGAGGTTCGTGAACCCAGAGAGCTTATATCTACACAAACCATATATGAGTGCGAAACCGAGAGGGATTTTGAGACTTTACTGTCTTATCACGTGGTTCTTACTGTTGTGTGTTAACAAGCACCTTGTCCAAACGAGTCACACCATGTACCCAGACCATGAGAGTAGCAGAGGCTCTCAGCCTTACGAGCTCTACAAACCTTTTTTCTATAGTGTAAACCCAGAAAAAGAGCTTGTACCTACACAGACCATGAGAGTAGACAATTTTGTGCTGAGGGCTCAACCCTTTATGTACAGTCCCCAAACCCAAAGGGCATGTCTCTCGCTCTCTTTCTCTCTCTCTCTCTCTCTCTCTCTCGCCCTCTCTCTTTCTAAATTTTTTCATCTGCTTTTATTATATATTCTACTATATTATATTATATGTTGTTGTATTCTACCGTATAAGGGGCCCAGCCCTATACAAGTTCCAGACCCGGAGAGACTGTATACAGATGTAGACAGACCAAGTGAAACCTTTGCCCTTCCTGCTACAAGACCCGAAACAGATCTCATGAAGTATACCTTTCCTGTCAAGACCAGAAAAAGATCTGATGAATTATATACCTTCCCTGTTAAGACCAGAAGAAGATCTGATGAATTATACCTTCCCTGTTAAGACCCCAGAAGAAGATCTGATGAATTATACCTTCCCTGTTAAGACCCCAGAAAAAGATCTGATGAATTACCTTCCCTGTTAAGATCCCAGAAAAAGATCTGATGAATTACCTTCCCTGTTAAGACCAGAAAAAAAGCTGATTACCGAGAATATAAACCACAAAAGATGCTGCATTTCTGTGACGAAAGCCCCATCGAAGTTTCGACCTGCAGCCCTCAAACTTCGACCTGTGACCCTTCAAACTTCGACCAGTGAGAGGCCGAAACTTCGACGAAGTTTCGTCGAAGTTTCGTCCTCGCCCGGGCCCAAACGAGTTAACTAAATCCTGTGATTTTGGATATGATATCCAAAATCACAGGTTGAGCATATCCAAAATCACAGCGCCATTTCAAAACTGTGATTTTGGATATCTACGTGTTCCCTTTTTGCTCCCTGCGTCCTTCCTGTAGGGTTCCGTTTAGTTAAAATTTTGGCTCCAGCCAAAATCTTAACTAATAGTTAACTTTTGGGCTAACCCAGTCTATGGGGTAAACGAGTCCTCGGGTGCGCAACCCCACATCCCTGCGCCATTTGCAATGCGGTATTACCTAGCGCCCACGCTCTTGCGGCACACGTTCACCGCAAGCACTCTGTTGTCAACTGGCTGACGCGGTACACCCATGGTACCGCCTGTCTTTGGTGTCATACAGAGATGCACTCATCGGATCGGCTCAAATACCATCTCCGGACCACGCCGGGGTGTGTCCACGGGCTTAGGGTCACTGTCGGTGAGGTTTATGAATATGGTACCGGGTCTCGACGGGGCGGGCCTAGGACTCATCGCGGCGTCCCGGCAGCGAGGCTCCCAGGTCCCCTTAACGCTACGCCTGCCCAGCGCGCTGCTTCTGAGGCAGGGCGCCCTTGCACCGAGGGAGAGCTCGCCCAAGAGCTCTTCGCAGCCACGGGCGCGCTTGCCCCTTTCGACTGGCCGGCCCCGCAGGTGACCGATGGGGCTGCACGCAATGTTGTTGCGGTACCGGCTGACCCGCACCCGAGGCCTTTCCTCCCAGATGTTGGTGCCGCAGAGCCCGTTGGCCCCGCTGCTGCTTTTGCTCACTGCACCGGATCTGTCGAGGGCGCACCCAGCGTATCTAATGCGGTTGAGGCACCCGTGCGTCAGTGGCGGTGCATTTTTGACTACTCTGAGCCAGCTGAGGCATGGCATCTACCCTCTCCGTTATGGTCTGCATGGAGTCTCGCCCCTGTCATTTGGCAGCTTCCTCTTGCGTGGCACCGCTACTGGAAATGTTGGCACGCTACCGATTTGTTCCATCCCTGGGACGCCGCTGCCACATCCGCTTTCCGTGTCCTTCGCAGCAGTGTGTCTGATCCTGCTGCCGCGTCCAAGGAGCCTCCGGCTGCCTTACAGTGCTTGTTGGCCGCCACTGTTACCCTTCGTCAGGTTTGCGCCCGGGTTTGTGCTGGAGGCGCTCTTTGGCTTTGGGGTGTGCCGAGCTCGGCAGGGCTCTCGCTCCTCCGGAGGCTGCTGCCCCGCGCGCTCTTTCGCTCTGCGCATCTTCCCTTCGGAGTGATCTTTGCTGCTCAGCACCCAGACTGTCCACCCTCGTGGTGGCCGGACCTTCTGGCCCTTTGCTCTCCCTCGCCTGTGGGCCATTCCCCTTTTGTCCGTCCTCTGCGAGCCTCCTTCATTTTCAGCACAGAGTCGCTGGGTCGCGCCTGAGGCGCTTCTCGCCCCTGTGCTCTTTTGCTTGTTTGTCTCTGAGTTTGCCTGTGTGGTTCCATAGCGGTTCCCACTTTTGGGCTTGCATGTCCTTAGTTTGCTCCGGACCTTGGACCGATCTGCAGTGAAGTGAAGTGAAGTTAGGGTTTAGGATCTAGGGTTAGGGTTTTTGGGTTGTTGGTATAGGATCCATGGTGAGGGTTTAGAATAGGGGTTAAAACCCTCCCTCCGCAGCAGGACCTTCACACGCAGCGCAATCCGGCCGCCCGTGGAGGCACCGGCGATCGTATCAGCAGCGAACCGCGGCTCAGAATATACGGTACTATAATGGTGACGAGCTTTTTGATTATGTTCGGCTGATGGTATAAATCCTGCATTACCCTAAGGACCTTAAACTATGGGAATTATGGTATATTCCGTATGATGGGTCATGCAGGACTTATTTCATCAACAGTATCACGGTAAAGTATCGGTACCTGGGAGCCCTAAGGGGTATATTCCTTAGTTGAGGGATATTGGAGTCACTGGGTTAAGGGGTTCGAGGATTCAAACAAGCCTTTGAACCCCAAACCCTGAACCTTTTCAATCCGTGAGCCTAAAAACGGGGGGCTAGATAGTCACCTCTGCTATTTTGGTGGGTTCCATATTTTAAAAAGAAACCCTATTCTAGCTATTGAGGCCGAACCGCCTGAAACTCTAAAACCCCGACAAAACTCCTACAAAACCTTCAACCCCGACAAAACCGTAGGGTTTAGGGTGCAGGGTTTGGGGCTTAGGGTTCAAAAACCGGAAAACCCGAATGCCTATAAAAACCCCAAACCCTGACCCCTAAACCCTAAACCCCTAACCCCTAGGAACCCAAGCCTGGTTGGGGTTTTGGTACGTATAACTCTCTAAAATAACTACTTAGTAAGTCCCCCGACCCTCGAAGTGAACACCGCAAGGCCCCCCCAAAACCCTCCAAGACGACTCTGTGAGCCAAGGAGTTCGACAAACATCTGCAGAGGCTCCCAAGGGCCGCTGTTTCGGGTGTTATCTTAGGGTTACTTAGAAACAATTTTTAGTTTCTGGTTATTATAATCCCTAAGAAACAGCGAAAATTGTAATTTTCGCTAGGGTTCTAAGTTCAGTATAGTTGTAGGGTTTAGGGTGCAGGGTTTAGGGTGTGGAGTTTAGGGTTTAGGGTCAAGGGCAGCTCTTTCGGGTGTTTTTTGAGGGGGTGTAATATGGGAGTTTCCGAAAATTCGGTAGTATCTTATTTTGGGGTCTAGATAATGAGGATCCTACAATTCAGGGTACTATATCAGGGTCCCCAATTTTCGGAAACTCCCATATAGGGGCCTTGATAATTACCTATCTGTTCTGGGGGGGGTCCTTATTAAAATTGTAGTATTCTATCCCCCAAAACCCTATTCTAATTATTCAGGCCCTATAGTACAGATTCTCTTGAGGGTTTAGGAGTTTAGAGGTTTAGAGGATTAGGGTTCTTGGGGGTTTAGGAGGTTAGGAGTTTAGGGGTTTAGGGTACAGGGTCTACTAAAGGTTTAGGGTTCGGGGGTTGAGGGGTTCAAAGTTTAGGGGTTTAGGGTTTAGGTACGGTACAGCCAAAAGTCCTCGAAACATTCCTCCATTCCAGAAACTTCCTAAACTTCCAATCCTACACTGCATCCCTAAACACTAGATGCAAAGGTTACTAAATACTAGATACCAACTTCCCTAAGTAGTGTTAGGGAGACCCCTGAAAGCGGACCCTTCTTAACCCTACTTTTGGCTCTCTTCAACGCGACCTCATTGAGAGGGTCTGCATTTTTGAAGGGTCCCCTAAACCTACCCCAAACCCCTAAATCGCTAAACCCCCTATATCCCTGAACCCGAATCCTAAATCCTACAAATCCCCGAACAGTGATAGACCGCCATTAGCAGAGGAAGGAAGGGAAAGATCGTATCCGAAGGCCGACCTATGGCGCCTTCACCCTAACCCGAAGGCCCCGCCCCACCCCATGGGTTTAGGAGGGTTTAGGGTTGGGTTTAGGGTCAGGGTTTAGGCCCAAACTCACAAGATCAAGGGACTTGACACGTAGGTTTGTGCAAAGTTTTTGAGTACATCAGTTGCAGGGGGGGGCCTTTGTTACAGCTTCAAGCTTCATCGGAGCCTCCAAGACCAAGGGACCGGGGATATACTGAGCATGTTACAAGCACTGATGCCAGACCCATACCCCAAAAGCTTCACGAAACTGAAGATCTTGAGCTGAAAACTTGAACTACCCTCAAACCTCAAGTCATGCTTAGTTAAATCCGAACCCGGAATCGCAAATCCCAGATCTGAAACCCGAAAGCGTCATTTAACAAAGACGGTGGCCC